TATAATCTAATGAATGAAATAAAGTATAAATACAGGAAAAGTGAAGTAACAATGCTTCTGTGTTATTTTACATGTTGTATGTTAAATGTTATACCTGCATTATGCACAGGGAAGATCTCCAATCTTGCAAAGATTGTCAAAGCTGGAAAGAGGTGGGAAGGACATTCTCATCTAGATGAACGATTATGCAAAGTGTGGAGGCAGGAACATGCATGCCATTATCAGGACATAGTGAGCATCTGGGTCTGGTTCTTATTTGGGAAACTGCAGGAGAGAGGCTGGTGAGGTGGCAGCAGCCGGACCCCAGACAATCAGGAACTTAGTCTGGATCCCCTTTGCAGGGGTGGCCAGAAGAGCTGTTGATGAACCAGCCTACATGCTTCTTTCTGTGAGATAAGACCCACTGGGTGCTGGGAGCTGCCCACCCCACCCAGAATCCTGCATCATAGTTGTGAGCATTGCCTTGTCTTTTTCTCCTTCTTCCCTCTCCCCATCACATCCCCAACTTGGGAGCCTCCAATGGGCTTCACCATTGCTATTTCCCATAATCAGTAATATATTCTCCTGTGTGAAGAGTGGAATCAACAAGCCGCCCACTTTTCCAAGAGGTCTTGGCAGTTCTATGATGAGTTGGGCAAAGTTTCCAGGGCCCAAGTACAGCAAAGAAGGTATAGGTTCTGAGGGCAGGAGCTATTATCACCCAGATGTTCTGCTGATTTGGCTGGTGGACAGGCCACTACTTCACTCACAAGGATGGCTTTGAGTGAAGGAGAGAGCAGGGTGGGGACTTCTACAAAAGGTTGGGGCAGTCTTCAGGGGTGTTTCCCAGGTCTCCCTTTCCAGAACCTCTCCCAGTTACTCTTCTTCTGTCCTACATTAAATACCCCATGGCCTCTTCATCTTCTTCAGTTTCTGGGGCTTGTCAGGTGTGGGCATGATGTGGTTAGCTTTGCTGAGTTTATGAATTTTGATGCTGGAAGGGTTATGTGGTTGAACTGAGAGCAGGTATAGTCAAAAGTTAAATAGACCCATGTTTAAACCTCAGCTCCACCTTTTGGTAGAGAGTGACTTGGAAGATGAGTGGTGCTTTAGAGTGCATGGGTGGTGCAAACAGCTAATGTATTCTCTGCTAACTAAAAGGTGGAAATTTAAGTCCACCCAGAGGCACTTTGGGAGAAAGGCCTGGCAATCTACTTCTGAAAAATCAGCCATTGAAAACCCTATGGGTCACAGTTCTACTCTGACACATGAGGTTGCATAATTAGTTGACTCGGTGACAACTGGTTTTGTGAGCCCTTGTTTGCTCATTTGAAACATGGAGATGTTTTCAAGGAACAAACGATCAATCTGATACAAAGGAAGCATACAATAAAGCTTGCTGATTTTTAGCATGGTTGAATAATAATTTGAAATACTGAGTCATGTTTTCATTTTCTTCTTTCTCTTTTCTGTACCAAAAGCAAAACTTGTTCTGTCTTTCTTTGCTTCAGGGAAGATGTGGGCAGGGCAGAAATCTGAAGTGACCTGCAGGATTTAAAGGATGTTGTTGACTTGAGGGTCCTGGGTGGATGTAGAAGGAAGAAGCAGTGTGAGAAAAGAAGCAGGAGAGACAGTGAGTGGTGGGACTTATATCCTGCTTCCTGGTGGTGGTCCTGGGAGGTGGCAAGACCAGAGAGTAGTGGCTATGTGGCCTGTTTGGGAGGTATGACCAAGACATGCTCTAGAAGGCTGAGTTGGCCCAGCTGTGGCATGGAGTCATCAATGGCTGAAAGACAGGGATAGGAGAGTACCCCCAGGCACTCCTTAGCAGCTTGGCATGCTGGGGAGTCATGTGGACCCAAGCACATCTGCAGGTCATTCCACAAAAATGATCAAGATTAATTTGCCTTCCTCCTCAGCCTGGAAGTATGGGGCATATGTTGTTACGTGCCGTTGAGTTGGACCCGACTCATAGCGACCCCTCCTTGAGTTGCCAAGGCAGTATCAGTACGGAAGTAGATTGCCCAACCTTCCTTCTGAGCAGTGGCTGGTGGGTTGGCATATACAGAAATTCAATTGATTTATGGAACATGAAGAGAATGGAGATTCACACCAGCTCCATGAGCTTGTAAATCCCATTTTATAGCTGAGGGGATGGAGGCTGGGGATGCAGTAGGTCATTCAAGGTCACCCACTGTAGTCATTTATTTATTTATATTTTTAATTACATTTTATTTTTTTATTGTGATTTGGGTGAAAGTTTACAGAACAGATTCATTTTTCCACACAGCAGTTCATACACATTTTGTTTCAGGACATTGACTGCAATTCCCCACAATGCAACAGTTCTCTTCCTACTTCCTCCCTGTAGTTACCTCTTCCCTGTGTCCTTCTTTCCTATGCATTCTTGCCCCTGAGCTACCCCCCTGTGCAAATACTCAATGCAGTAATTTATGACTCATGTTTGTAGAAGGCCTGATGCATGTCAGCAGTTGACATGTTTATGTCTTGTCCTCACCATGACCCCTCACTGCCACTGTCTCTACTCTATGAAAGAGAAAACTGAGGCCCAGAGAAGGAACTTGCCCAAGGTTACACTACTATGCAGCAGACCCAGAATTTAAACCCAGTGACACATGCACTTTGCAGAGACTTTGCTCCTCCTACCAACTGGTCCTTTGCAACAGGGTGGGCTTGCAAAGAATTGCTTTCTAGCACAGTGTGATCACATATTAGGCCCGACTTCTCCCCCACAGGATTCTAGGCTCTGCCTGATTGAAATGATGTCAGCTCCATCTCTATGTGTGCAGTGAGAGCACATGGTAGGTGCCCAACAAATTGAATTGATTTGACTTTGTTGCTTTTCATATCTGAGCGGAGATCACATGCTGGATACTGAGGGGGGGAGGTGTCCCTCAGCCCTGACTTTGTTTTAGTCATTTTTGTAGGTCAGATCCAAGCCATCAGGAGTCTAGACTTCTCAAGGGGAGTCATGCCCACCCTGTGCTGGGTAACTGGCACTGAAATCTTATCGTGGCTTTTCTAAAAGCTTTTTGAATTCTTGGCCTGCCCTCTGTGGATAAGCTTGTCTAATGCTCTGTGCTTGGGCAACACTCTTGATAATGCTGCACTTGAGTGCTGGTAGAATGATCCCAATCTTGTGAATAAACACAGAGCAACCAGTGCCAAGGGAGGGTTGATTTCTGGCTCTGAGGGTCACCTTCCAGTAAGAGAGGTGGCTGAGTGTTTCTTCCCAGGGTCATGGTCCAAGAGAGTTTGCAATTGGGTCAGGCTGGGCCACTGGTGACATGGAGCAGAGTTTGCAATCTCCCTCCCCTCCATCTCCTTCTCTCCTGCTTCATAGTTCTGACCCCAGAGGGTCCCGGGCCCTAGGTGCTGCAGTGGGGCTTGTTGCCCTGAAGAATGGATAGAAGTTGGGAGGAATGAGTGAGAAGATCTACTCCCAGCCATAACCATGCAATCTGCTCAGAATCCCGCAGCATTCTGTGCCCTGTATGTGCAATAGATCAAGAGTCTCTTGATTATTTCAAGCTCTACCTTCATTATGGACGAGTCTATTAACATCTCTCAGTCTTGATCTCCTAATCCACAGGGCAGAAGAATGAAGCTGCCTGCTACTCCTCATGGGTGGTAGGAAGGCCACTCTTCAGTCATTTTTCTTTTTTAACCAAACACTTATTGAGCACCTACTATGTGCCATGCCCAGTGCTGGTGTGTGGGAAGAAACACCACTCAGATACAGGGGTATCTTTATAGGGCATACAAGACATGGTCCATCAGGACAATGTCCACAGGAAAGAAAACACAAAACAAACTGTTCTGTTTAGTAGGAGTTTCTCTCCCTGCTTCTTTGGTTTTTAGGGAGGAAGTGTGCCAAGAAGACAGCTGGATGTGCTTGTGGGTAGTTTCCCAGGGGCATGAATGACCAGGCTTCTGGGATCCCAGCTTTGTGAAGGGTCATTACTGTGGTGAGATCAGATCTGGCTATCTTCTTATCAGTTACTACTGAGTTGACTCCAACTCATGGTGGTCTCATGTGTGTCAGATCACAGCTGTGCTCCACTGGGTTTTCAATGGCTGATTTTTCAGAAGGAGATTTTCCAGTGCTTTCTTTTGAGGATCCCCTGGGTGGACTCAAACCTCCAACCTTTTGGTTAGCAGTTGAGTGCATTAATTGTTTGTACTATCCAAGGCCTCCAGACTATCTTCCTAACTTCTATCCTTCCCCTGTGTGTGTGATATATGTCTGTCTTCTCTGGTCAGCCCTCCCTGGTTTTCCCAACTGCTAATGTGATCTCTTAGATCTCATTTTCTAATACAGAAGGAGGGCCCATATCCCTGGGGAATGCATGAGCCTTGGGCCTGCCTTCTCTTTAGATTGTACCATATGGAACCAGCTCTGTGCTTTAAATCTTGAGGAGCCCCATTCCCTGGGCCAAGAGATACCCATGGAGTGACAGATTGAACAAGTACTCTCTGCCACAGAGACCACTTTGGGAGTAAACTGAGTCCACCCCTAGAAAGCTGGGACTGTGAGAACAGAAGTGAAACATTCCTAGACAGGGCAGGCCATCAGTTTTAAGTGCAGTCAGGCCCAGGAAGGGAATGCAGACAGGGCAGAAGTGAGGTCTGTTAAGAATAGGCCTCTTTACAGACCATAATGTGGAACATGGGTCAGACGTTTGGCAGCAGCCCCACCTGTGTTGGGTCTAGAAGTCCAGTTTGGAAAGGGAAAACAGATCAGAGAGACCCTATGTTGACATTTCTTGGCCTGGAGATCAGGCATGTATATACTTCAACTTTGAAGTCCCTGGTGAATTTGTGGTCCTTATCAGTGTGGGTGTTAGATAGCTTGATGTTATCTTAGTGTGTTTGTGGAGTGGCTTGAAGTCAGGGGCTATCAGTGCAGACCAGGCATCCAGCCAGTGGGAACCCTGTTCCCTCTATAAAGGCTGTGGGAATGGGCACTGGCTAGAGCAGTGGCCTGCTGGTGGTCCAAGATGAGGTGCCTCATGGTGGTTCTTGCAGTCCTTACACTCTGCCAAGGCAATCAGATCACCAGGTGGGTGTCAGATCCAGGAAAGGGGGCCAAGGGCATCTCTTGTGTCCTCTCTTTTTGGTTCTCTCCTTTCTTTTCCAGCCTTTGATTTCCCTGGGGAGTCTTTGTAGGAAATGCTGCAGATTGCCAGGTTAATTGCTTCCTGTTACTCTTGTCTTTGCACTTTGGACCATTTCCTCTAAGTGTGCCATTATACTTCAACTGTGGTGGAAAAGAACACGGAGTCAGATGGGTGGCTTGGGGAGATAAAGGACATGTTTCTGGAGTCAAACTGCCAAGGATTTGAACCTCAGCTACATAATGAACTTAACCTCTTTGTGCCTTGGTTTCCTCATCTGTTGAATAACATGATAACAATATCCATCTACATTAGTGTCCTAAGGCTGTTGTAACAAACTGTTATCACAAACTATGTGGCTTCAGAAGTCTCTGAGTGGTGCAAACAGTAATGCACTAGTCTGCTAACCTAAAGACTGGAGCTTGGACTTTACCCAGAGGAACCTTGGAAGAAAGGCCTGGCAATCTACTTCCGAAAGGTCAACCACTGGAAGCCCTATGGAGCACAGTTCTATTCTGACACGTGGCATACCATGAGTTGCAGTTGACTTGACAGTAACTGGTTTACTGATTACGTAGCTTCAAATAACATAAATCTATTCTGTTGTAGTTCTGGAGGCTAGAAGTCCAAAATGAGGGGGTCAGTAGGATCATACTCCCTTTGAAGGCTCTAGGACAAGATCTTTTTTAGCTTCTGGTAGTCCCAGTCATTCCTTGGCTTGTGGTAGCATTTTAATCTCTGCTTCTGTCTTCATTCACTTGACCATCTGTCCTCTGTGCCTCTCTCTGTGTCTCTTCTCTTCTTATAAGGACCCCAATTGTAAAGAGAATGGGCCCACTCTAATGACTTCATATTAACTAATTATATTTATAACAACCCTATTTCCAAGTAAGGTCATGTTCACAGGTACCAGGGATTAGGTCATGAGCATATATTTTTTGGGGGATATAATTCAACCCTTGACACCATCTCATAGGGTTGTTATGAGGATTATATGTCTTAATATTTATAAAATGTTTCAAATAGTGCCTGGCCCATAGTAAGAGCTAGATAAGCATTTGTTAAACTATATAAAATTCTGTCATAACAAGACCTTTGTGATTGAAGTTCCTATATTCTCTTCCAAAAATAATAACCAATATTTGTTTACTTGCTACTAGGTCTAGGCCCTTTAGATGGTCTTTACCTGCACTATCACTGATCTTCATGGCTACCCTTTTAGGTGTTGTTGTTGTTATGTGCCGTCTAGTCAGCCCTGACTCATAGTGACCCCTCCTTGGGTTTCCGAGGCTGTATCACTACAGAAGTAGGATTGTCCAACCTTCCTTCCGAGGAGTGGCTGGTGGGTTTGAACCTCCAGCCTTCTCGTTAGCAGTTAAGTGCCTTAGGCACTATGCTACCAGAGCTCCTTCCCTTTTAGGTAGCCATTATTATTTGCATTTTACAGATAAGGAAACTGTTGTTCATAGGGGGCCCCTGACCTGCCCAAGGCCACATGGTTAGTAAGGGAAGAGCTAGGGCTTGGTCCCAGGTGGTCTTGACATCACAGCACCTACAAGTGCCTGAGTCTGATCCCTGTCAAGCTAAGCCCTGAGCACAGGGAAACTTGACTCCCTCCAGGCGGAATCTGGTTCCTAGAAAAGGGGTCAGAGTACTTTCGACCATTCAGAGCTTCTTGTGATGTTCCTAAAAATGGAATTCCTCCAAGTCCAAGCTGTGTTGAGACTGGGAGCAAGATTGGAGTTGAGATTTCTGTGGCAGTAGGTCTCAGGCCGCCTCTGCAGTGGAGTGTCCATCCATGCACACCTGCCCTCTTGGTTCTTGACACAGGGCAGAGGTCTGACTTCCAGATGCTACCATTTCCCCTCAGTCTTAGCTACTTGCTGTGGGAGCTACCAGGCATTCTCAGATCCATGTATGAACTCGAGCTGGAGACAAACAGAAAATATTTGGGGGCCTGGACCTAGGGATACAGGAAAGAATAGCTGTAGACTTGGTCCCAGGAGCTCAGTCCAACCTCTTCTTTTTAGGTACCTAAATATTTTGCTATCATTGGAGACAAGGGCTGAAAAAGATCTCTCTAACGTTTTATCGATTAGTCAGATTCTGGCTGAAGTAACATATGAGGGCTGGGGTAGGGGACCCAGAGAAGAGATCATAATTCATGTACAGGACTATCTCATATGGAATCCGTTAGGGATGTGAACATGAAAAAACTCATTTTATCCCTGGCAAAACATTTTCCCATCTGTACACTCACATTATCCTTCCCACCTGGAAAAACCATATGATTCTTAGAGCTGGAAGTAGCCTTGGGAATCAAGTTCCACTTTTGCAGTCTGCAGGAAAGGAAACTAAGGGTCTAGGCCACCTGATTAGTCAAAGGCAGGGTCAAGAGAGGGGCTGGAAGGGAAAAAGTTAGTCTATTTCATAGAGACGGAGGCTGAAACTCAGAGGACTTTGGGGAGACACCCATGGTGTCACAATTGAGGTGGAGCTGGGTCTAGAATCAGGTTCTTCTATGTTCCCTCTTGATGGTCTTCTCTTCATCTGTTTCTATCATCCAATATCTAAGCTCAATCAGGAGCTCTGCCCTGAGAAATCCTTTGCAGAATTTCTACCTGCTAGGGTAAACACTGGGAGCTCTGGTAGCGTAGTGCCGAAGACACTTGACTACTAACCAGAAGACTGGCTGTTCAAACCCACCAGCCACTCCTCGGAAGGAAGGTTGGGCAATCTACTTCCGTAGTGATATCGCCTTGGAAACCCAAGAAGGGGTCGCTATGAGTCGGGTCCGACTCAATGGCACATAACAACAACAACAACAAGGGTAAACACTATCCAGAGAGTGGAGACAGGCATTTTTGTTGTTATGTGCCATTGAGTTGGCCTAGCAAAGGAGAAAAAGCAAGGGCTTTAGCATTTACCAGGGTGCAGGAGGTACCATTTTCTTTTCTAGACTTTCCTCTGTCAGAGTTGGGCAGAGCTGTATCTTTTTCACTATTGTGTCTCCTGCGCCTTGCTCACAGGAGCTCTGGTGGTGTAGTGCCTAACGCATTTGACTGCTAACCAGACAGCTGGTGGTTCAAACTCACCAGCCACTCCTTGGAAGGAAGATTGGGCAATCTACTTCCATAGTGATACTGCCTCAGAAACCCAAGGATGGGTCACTATGAGTTGGATCCAACTCCACGGCAGTGAGTTTGGTTTGGTTTTTGGTGCCTTGCTCACTGCCTGGCACATTATAGGTACACAACAAGAATTTGTTTGACTGAGTGATTGATAACAGGTATAGCATCTGTTGAATTGCAGGTTGCAAAACTCATTAGTGGGTTATAAAATACATCTCATAGGTCTCTGCCAGTATGAACAAACAACAACAAAAAAGAAATAGAAAATAGAGTGTGTCGCATTTAGTAAGAGTAGGCACTGATTTGTGAACAGACATGAAATATAGTTTTTACTCTGGGTTATAATAAAAAAATGAAAGCTATTGGCCTGGGGTCAATGGAAAGTTGACCAGAAGGTTGGGTTGGTAACAGCAGGGCTGGCAGTGGTTTACAGAGTCCAGAGGCTCTGGCCACTTCTAAGAGGCTGGGCAACCTGAGGGAGATGCCCCACACTCGTCATTAATCCTTTCCAATCTCCTCAGGATACCTCTGCACAAAGGGAAGTCTCTGCGACAAAGCTTGAAGGAGAATGGGCTCCTGGATGACTTTTTGAGGAAAAACCAGTATGCAGTCAGCAGGAAGTACTCCAACTCTGGCCATGTGGCCAGTGAGCCCCTGACCAACTACCTGGATGTGAGTCTCTGACAGCCTTTTGGGGAATGAATTTTCAGAGTTATAAAGTTCCAGCTGTCCCTCAGTCTGGCTTCCCTGAGCCTCCCCACCTCCCTACTCCCACCCATTCAGGAATCATGGCACCCTCTGAGGTGTGGAAGCCATCTCCCTGCTCCTCAGTAAGGCCCACAATGGCCCAGTAGACCCAACAAGAGCCATGGTCCTGCCTTCAGGGTTCTGAATGTCACTACTGGAAGGTGTGAGCTCAGACAACCTTCCTGCACGTATCACTTGGGGCTATGCCATCTACTACAGACCCAACATCCTGCCTGCCTTTCACAGCCCAGAGGAGCCCATGTCTTAATCTGGGGCCCATTCTGCCACTGTTTGGTACATGGCCACCATCTTTCTCTTCCTCCCACCCAGGACTCAGGCAGCAACATCCCTTGTGCCCTGTTTCTTTCTGGAGCTTGTCTCTCTCTCATCTGTCACTCTTGACAGTAAACAACCAGCCTTTTTTCTCTTCTGTGCTCTCATTTCCTTATCTAGGTCATCTTCACCACGCCCACAGCCTTAGCTCTGACACCTGGGAAGGACTGGCAAGGAGGCAGGTGTGGGCAGGGACAGCTCCAGTTTGGATTTGGGGCCCTATTCCTAGTGGATTCCCCTCCTCTGTGCCCAGCTTCTTCCTGCCCCTGGCAGAAGTGGGTTAGTCTCCCTACCAGGCAGGATTTAATATTGGTCTGATGTGCACTTCTGGGGCTCAGTCCAGCAGTGGCTGTAAGGCTTGTGGGAGGGTCAGGCTGGGGTCAGCACCAAGCATGGCTGTGGCTGGGTATGAGGAGCCATCCTGAGGAACCTTTCTTGAGTTTCTTCCCTTGACCTTGTCTATAAGATGCTCTCAGGCTCTGAACAGAAAGCATAGGACATGCAAACCTGAGCAAGCTGCATGTGGAGCAGCAGCCCTCACCTCCTACCCCTGCCTCTGACCCAGTGATGTCTATCCTCAGTGTCAGTACTTTGGAAAGATCTACATTGGGACCCCACCCCAGGAGTTCACCGTGGTGTTTGATACAGGCTCCTCGGACTTCTGGGTGCCCTCTGTCTACTGCAACAGTGATGCCTGCCGTGAGTGAACTCCCCCACTTCCCTCCCACCCCATGCTCACACCCCAGGCCTACTCTGCCATCCAGTAGTCAGGGCAGCCCCGGGGGAAACGTGGCATGGCAGGAGAGTTTGCTTTGATATTCTCACCCTCAGTTGTGAATCATGATCTAATGTATAAAGTTCCAGCTGGAAATTAGGGAACCTTAGTTCCCCACCCCCTCTATTGGGAGCCAAGGCAAGCTGCTTACCTTCCTGAGTTCTCAGTTTTCTATAAAATGGGGCCTTGGTGTACCAGTGAATGCTGGGAGAATAAAGTGAGAAGGTCTATTACTAATGATGAGTAAACATTTAATATATATATATTAAAAAAAACCCCAAACTCACTGCCATCCAGTTGATTCAACTCATAACCCCTCCTTGAGTTTCCGAGGTGGTATCACTATGGGAGTAGATTGCCCAACCTTCCTTACAAGAAGTGGCTGGTAGGTTTGAACCTCCAGCCTTCTGGTTAGCATTCAAATGCCTTAGGCACTATGCCACCAGAGCCCTAGACCATTTAATATATATAATCATTTATTTAAAAAAAAAAAAAAAAAAAAAAACACTTGGAGGCTGGTACTCTTTTTAGACCTATCTTACAGATGAGGAAACCAGGGTTCAGAAAGGAAAAGGAACTTGCCTAAGATTGCACAGTTGGTGAAAGTAAAATGTACATAGAAACCTTCCTTTTCCCTCTCTCCCTTCCTCCCTTCCTACCTCCCAGTCCCCCTCTCTTCCTTTCTCTTTTTTATAGCAACATCTGACTGCTCACCAGAAGGCTGGCGGTTCAAACCCACCAGCCACTCCTCGGAAGGAAGGTTGGACAATCTACTTCTGTAGTGATACTGCCTCGGAAACCAAAGGACGGGTCGCTATGAGTCGGATTGACTCAAGCGTTTTTGGTTATCTAGCCCTGGGGGCTAGGGAAGCCGAGTTGAGCAGCAAAGACTGACTTTCTGTACTAGAAAAGACTATAGAGATAATAGGCTGCTTATTTCCCCCCGATGGTCAGTATTTAGACTAACATTCATACCAGGTCTGGTGAATTTTCAGCCCACCCTGGCACTGCCACAGTGGTGAGAAGATTCCTATACCATCCCCACTAACACTGGCTCTGTGTTGCAGAAAACCACCACCGCTTTAACCCGTCCAAGTCCTCCACCTTCCAGAACATGGGCCAGCCCCTGACCATCCAGTATGGAACAGGCAGCATGCAGGGCTTTCTGGGCTATGACACCGTCACCGTAAGTGAGGTCACAGGGCTGGCCAATGCTCACTCTTCCTCTTCCACCAGCCACTTTTCCACCAGGGGCACCTTGGCTCTGGTGACTACACCTCTGGCCAGTGCTGAGGGGCTGTTTGGGTCCTGTCCATCCTGGGTGACTTGATGGGTCTGGGTTCAGGGAGGGATTTTTTTTTTTTTTTAAACTACTGAATTTATTTGTTTATTTTAAAATTTACTTTTATTGTGGTGAAAAGATACACAACAAGACATTCACCAACATAACAACTTACACATTTACAGCTCAGGGACATTGATGACATTTTTCATGTTGTGCCACTATTATTGCTATCTTTTCCAAAATATTCCACCACCATTAGTACAAACTCAATGCCCTGCAAACATAAGCTTCCCCCTTTCCCCTCCCTCCTATCCCTGTCATTAATAATTGGTATCTATCTATCATCAGTCATCTATCTATTTTTTCAACCTATCTAGGAATTTTCCCTCTCCTCCCCTCTCATCCCTGCTAACCAACAAAGAAAGTTTTCTTCCATGTATAAACCTTTCTTTGACTTTTTACAATAGTGGACTAATACAATATTTGTCCTGTGATTGACTTATTTCACTCAGCACCGGGAGGAATTTTAGCCAGCAGATAGCTCCCTCCTCTCCTTCCTGCTCTCAGCCCTGAGAGGGACCACCGAGAGCCTTTACCAGGTTAAGGATTCCATTGCCTCATTCATTTCTTTTTAAAATTTTATTTTCTCTTCCTTTCCTTTCCTTCCTGCCTCCCTTGCCACAGTTAGTTCAGAATTTTGAGACTGAGCTCCTTGGGGACATATCTGCTATCTCGCTTTGTGTTTAATTCTTCCAACAGCACTTTGAGGAAGGAATTATTATCCCCATTGTTCAGATGAGGAAACTGAGGCTTGAACGAGTTGATTATTTGCCTAAAGACACAGAGCTGGTGACTGAGGCAGCTAAGTGTCAGACCCAGGTCTTGACCCTCTGAACAGTGCTCTTTTCTTGAGCTCACTCTTTGTGAGTCATAGATAGTGTCTTCTTTCATGTCAAAGAGCATCTCTGACCTCCAGAAAGGGGAGCACTCTTGCTCTCATCTGTTTTTGGCTTCCAAAGCACCTAAAGCTTTGGTGGACACATGGTAATGCCCCCAAAAATGCTGGTTTCTTTCTTTCCTTCTTCATCTACCATCCAAGTTTAAAAATCAAGCAGCCTCCCTTCCTGCTTATCACTTTGATCTTCCTTGGGTTCTTCCTTGTGTCTACCTGCAGTCTCTCTTGCTTTGAGCCCAGGAGGACACAGCTTTCCCTGCTGACAGCCCTCTCAGCATCCTCTTCTCTTGGCTTGGCAGGTGCCCACCCAGATCAGGCCTCCCTAATAGTTAGCACCAGACAATGGAGACCCCAGAGCCATTTGCTGAGGTGGCCCAGCCCACAGGGCTCTGAAATGCTAATTACCCCGCCTGGATGTCCTACTTCTTCTGCTGTCTTGAGCTATTTGCTTTCCTTTCTGCTATTTTGGGTGTAGGGAAAAACCTGCCTCCTCATTGAAGAGCTGTCCCCGTGCCTAGTGTCCACAGCCAAGGTCCATCCTGGCTACTTTCATTCATCCACAGTGGATGGGGGAGTGGAAGGTGGTGTGGGGCCTCATGTGGAAAGTGGTGTGGGACATGCCATGAAGCTGTCAGCCTGCCTTGACCCCACACAGGCCCTGTCCTCTGCTTGTGTGGAACAACGTTGGCTTGGTCAGGCAGGGGTAGCCTCTGTAAGGGCCAATGTGGGAATTAAACAGTGTGGCCATCCCAGCCCTCTGTTCCAAGAAGAAAGGCTTCTGTGAGGGGGGAGGGATGAAGAAGTCCAGGAGGCTTAGCCTGGGGCATGGTTCAAATGACAGGAGGGGAATCCAGGCCAGGGATCAGGAGAGAGTCTATAACAAGGGCCACAGGGAAAGGGGGCTCTGCGTATAGGCAACAGAGACAGCTGAGCTCATGTTCACGGGATCTTCCCACCCTGCCCTGAGTCACTTTGCCCAGAGGAGGAGCTGCTGGGTGCTAACCCAGAGTGGGGAGGGGATCTACTCTGTTGGACACTGGGGTCAGGAGCAGGGCTTTGACAGGGCAAATATAACTGGGTTTGATCCTGACTTCTTTCTCTCCAGCTGTGTGGTTTTGAGCAAGTCTCAATTTCCTCATCCATGAAATGGAGATAGTGAGATAGTGATACTTATCTCAGAGGGTTGTGGTAAAGGTTAAATGCGCTCATTAGCTGTTCATTATTTCTTTAGCCATTCATTGCCCTTATCCCATTGTTGACTTTCTTTTATAACCTTCATAGATAAAGAGTCTGACCACTTCTCACACCTGCACTGCTCTATCTTTGCTTAAGCCTCTACTATTTCTCACCTGGGTTGTTGTAATGGCCTCCTAACTGGTCTTCCTGCTTCTACCCTGGCTGTCCCAGACCCAGGACCTTTCTGTCTCCGGCTGCAGGTGGAGGTCACTATGAACTCTCTTGCAGGTCTCTGACATTGTGGACTCCCATCAGAGTGTGGGCCTGAGCACCCTGGAACCTGGCTATATCTTCACCTACTCCGAGTTTGATGGGGTCCTGGGGCTGGCCTATCCCTCTCTTGCCTCTGAATACTCAGTGCCTGTGTTTGACAACATGATGCAAAGGCACCTGGTGGCCCAGGACCTGTTCTCCGTTTACATGAACAGGTAGGACTTGCTTTAAGCCAAGGCCAGACTTAGACTGAGAAGGATTATTGGCTGAGAGCAGTCTACCCCTTGGGGATACTCTGCAACTCAAGAATAGTCACCAGCATCCAAACAATCCTGCTCCTTGTTTCAGGGAGAATGAAAAGATATCTCTAACTTCTTGTCAAATGGCCCCAATATCATCATTGCTGTTACCAGAGTTCACTGGGCCAAAATTTGACTTTTGACTTCTGGTGTCAAAAAACCCAAGTCTGTCCCCAACTCTGTGCAGGGCCTTTTAACTCATTTATTTATTTATTTTCCAAAGTAGCAGGTCCTCAACAATCATTTGTTGAAATTCACTGACTTTTCGAACAGATGTCTATGGAGTCTAAGCTTCCCTTTCACTATAGGGGAAACAGCCCCAGGAAGGGACAGTCACTCTCAGGCCAGTGTTCCCTACTCTATCCTTCTGCCCCCATGATGATACAGCACAGCTTACAGTGGGGTAGGCAGCAGGACAGAGACAAGGGGGCCGTCCCCAGGAGAAGGAGCTGGGTGACTAAGCTCAGGAGAGCCCTGGCAAGGGGTAAATTGTGCACTCAGCCATTTATTCTTTCATTCATTCAATAGGTTCTGATTGGGCCCTTACTATGTTCCAGGCCTGTACCAGGAGATGGGGATGCACCAGTAAACAAGACAAATGGGGAGTTGACACTTTAGCAGGGAAAACAGACAATGCCTAAGGACATACACAATTGTAATTAAACAATTATGATAAGGGTGCTGAGGGAAATCTGGGTGCAATGAAGGCTTAATAATAACAGGGCAGGTATGTGTACAGGAGGAGGAACAAGTGGGAGTTACCTAGGTGGGACAGAGGGACAGTTCATTTTAGGTGGAGAGTGGAGGGGGACAGCGCAAGTGAGAGCCCAGAGGTTGGATGGTGTTGATAAGGTCTAGGAACTTGAAAAGCAGAGTGGGAGCAGGTAAGGCTCATGTGTGAGCATTTCCTAGTGGTGACACAGAGAACGGGGCCGAGAGACCCTTCTACAGATGGAACAGAGGGGGTGTGGGTTTGGTAGCAGCTTTACTCCAAAGTATGAGTGACCTTGATAGCCTCTTCTCCTACCTGCTGCCAATGGGCTGGGAGCAGGGACACAGGGAGCCAACTGGAACACTGCTGAGGGTGATTGAGGCAAAGTCTGGCTGAATCTTGTGAGCTGTGACCTCTCCTCATACAGGCAGCTTCCTGATATGCCCCACCCCATATTTCCATGTGAAGCTTCTGGGGGCCTCCTCCAGCCTCTGACATGTTTCATATGAGTGCTGGGCTCCAGGTGCTGCCTGGGTCTGGGGGCTGCAGAGCAAAGAGCAGAAAGGGTGCTCATCCCAGGCTGAGGAGGAATATCAAGGGCTTGGGAGCACTTGTGTGAAGCCTCTTGGGGAAGGTGGGTCTGGGCCTCATCTGCCCCAGTGTGGCCTGGACACCTCACAGGGTTGGTTTTGTGAGGGTCACAGACCTTTCCTTGGTTTTTAGGAATGAGCAGGGGAGCATGCTCACATTGGGAGCCACTGACTCGTCTTATTACACAGGCTCCCTGCACTGGGTGCCTGTGACTGTGCAAAAGTACTGGCAGTTCACTGTGGACAGGTGAGTGTGGCCTGGGGCAAGTGGGCACCTGGGTGCTATACATGAATGCAACCCGGTAACTCATAAGGCCGAAGAGTCAGAGTCTAAGTCAGCTACTTCCAAGGTCAGATGCCCTTTGTCAGTGATAATGCCACACACTCTCCTATGCTTTATCAGTAACAATAGCTGCATTTGTTGAGTATTTACTGCCTGCTAGGCATTGTGCCAAGTGATTATATGGACTGTCTCCTTTATTCTTCTACTAAAAGCGTTTGGAGGGCAGTGGTGGTTCAGTGGTAGAATTCTTGCCTTCCATGCAGAAGACCTAAGTGTAATTCCTGGCCAGAGTACCTCATGTGCAGCCACCACATGTTGCTATAATACTGAGCATGTTTCAGCAATGTTTCCAGACTGAGATAGACTAGGAAGAAAGGCCTGGTGAACTACTTCTGAAAATCAATCAATGAAAATCCTATGGATCACAATTGTCTGGTGCCCTTGTCCACGGAGTGGTCATGAGTCAACACACCTAGATGGCAGCTAACAGCAAAACCCTGCTGGATAGGTGCCATTATTCTCCTTTTATAATTTGCTAATGTGGAGTTTGAACCTCAGGACTGTTCCTTGAGGAATCAAGGTGGCGTTTTGCAGATGAGAAGCCTGGGTACAGAGAGGTTAGGTCACTTGCCTGAGACCTGCAGGAAAGAAATAGTAGACTGAAAATTTGAAACCAGATCTTCAGGCAACACTACATATAGTTCCCAGACTACCCCTTATTGCACATGAATTTGTTTTATGCAAGTTTGAGCATGGAAGGTGACAAGGCCTCGATATAGCCACTTAGTTGGGAAAAAGTAGTTTTAAGTATTTGCTTTGAGCTCAGGAAGTTATAGGAGCCCCAAGAAGGGGTCCCAGGAAAGGGATTGAAGGATGAGTCATGCAGTAGAGGATGGGAAGCACCCATGGTGGGAGACTGGATGCTGGACACATCTCAAGACCATCTTGTTTCCCTCTGTAGTATCACCGTTGATGGTGTGGTGGTAGCCTGTGATGGTGGCTGTCAGGCCATCCTGGACACAGGCACTTCCTTGCTGACTGGGCCAGGCAGTGACATCCTAAACATCCAGAAGGTCATTGGAGCCACACAGGGCCAGTATGGCCAGGTGAGGCCAAGCCCCACTTCACCTCAACAAACACCCTAAAGTGGGGGGAGGAAATGACAAGGGGAAATGGTGAAGGAACTCATTTCCCAATGGAGACTGGGTTCCTCAGGAGTTCTTCATGATGACTTTTGGCTTTAAGCCATTGTTGCTGTTGGAACTGCCATGGTTCATGCAGTGACCTCAGTTGTCCCTCTGGCCCCTGGGTGAGATGTGCTCTACCTTTGCTCTCTGACTTGCTAACCTTTACTATGATCCCTTGTTCCTCCTCCATCCATGAGTCAGTCCCCTCCTCCCTGACAGCTAAGTGCTATCAATTGTTTTTATGAGCTCTGACTGGGCCTAGAGGGGGGATCCTGAGGCAACTCCTCAGGATCCCCTGATGAGATCTGCCTCTGCGTTGGCTGACATCTGGTCCCCCTCAGTGTGAGAACCATGTCTTGAGACCCAGCCTTAGCCTGAGAGCATTCCTGCAGTTGTCTGAGCAGGCAGGTCCCCTTTCCCCATCTCCTGGGCTTACACCATGCAGAGGAAGGGGTCCTGGCCCAGGCTGCTTCTCTTGTGTTCAACACTGAGGTGCCTCTTCCAGTCAGATTCACATCCCATTTTCTGTTCTAAGAGGACCTTCCTTTGGCTCTTTAGTTTGATATTGACTGCAGGAGGCTGAGCAGCATGCCCACGGTTGTCTTTGAGATCCATGGCAGACAGTATCCACTGCCACCCTCTGCCTACACCAACCAGGTATGAATTCCCTTGAAGGAAACCCTTGGGTTCCTCCTAGCACCTCCTCTTCTCTCCCTGAGTTGGGGAAAATCAGGGAAACTGGAGATAAAGATGTGGCCTGGACTTAGATAGAAAATGCAGCAATATCTATTCAGACCAACAGACCCTTCTGGGTGGAATCATGTTGTCCTTGGGCTTCACTTGTGGTTACTATAGCCTCCTTCTGGGAGAAATGGGGGAAACAGAAAGGACAGACATGGATGTGAGTGGGAAAAGGTAAGGAATACAACTCACTGTCACCTGCTACTCAGGCTCCTAAGCCCAAGAGCCCAGAGTTTCCTTATTAGCTTGGGTATCCGAACCTCCTTCCCCACTGACCCATTGGCCCCAGCTTTGACTTAATCCACTCCAAGCCGAAGAGGTAGGCTGCGTTGGCCCCTGGCCAGCCATGGCCAGTCATCTGAGCAGCAGTGCTGAGAGTGGGAGGGCAGAGGGCTGGAGAAGATAGGTGCATGGGAGTGGAGTCCAGGGCAAAGCACCAGGTCTTACATCTCCAGAACCCCAATGGGTAATCTTGGAATAGGTCATTATTTTTCTGAATCTCAAATTCTTCATCTACTGAGTGAGATGATTCTGACACTTGTTTGCTTCCCTCAGAAGGTGATTTCAAGGATAAATGAAATAATAGATAAGAATTATGTAATGGGGTAGGGAAATGCCTATGATCAGGCACAATGAATAGGGCTGGGACCAATCTCACCTCAGCCTTCCTTTCCCAGGAGCAGGGCTCCTGTACCAGTGGCTTCCAGGGTGACAATGACTCCCAGCTGTGGATCCTGGGGGACGTCTTTATCCGGGAGTATTACAGCGTTTTTGACAGGGCCAACAACCGTGTGGGACTGGCGAAGTCTGTCTGATTGCACCACTGCTCAGGGACCACTGCCCCCAAGGACATACACACATGCACATGTACATGCACACACATGCACATTCACATGTACACACATACCCACGTACACACACATGTACACACACACCAGGACTTTAGGCAGATGGTTCTCAATAAACAACCTTCCCTGCAACACCTGGCTTCTGTTGTCCTCATTGGGGCCAATGTCCTGCATCATCCTTGGGGTGGGGTATGGTTGTTACATGGTGTGTCAGGCAATGCATGAGCCACATTGGTCAGGAAGGACTGAGGGTATAGTTGATGGGTGGAAACTTTGATGAGGGAAATGACCATCCAAGCTCAGGATGTGTCTTGCCTGCGTGTCCTCCTACTTTAGATCTCTCTAGATCTTTGTAGGCAAGACTTGCTCATGCCTGGGGATAGGAGGCAAGGGCTTGGTGGTGTGGGGCTGAGTAGGAATGCCTGACTCATGGAGAGAAAGGCTCTATGTTGATTAAGAGAAGGATGTTGTTGCCATTTAAGAAGAGAGATAATGGGAGAAGACAGAGAACACGGAGCATTTGGGAAAGGTCAGGGTCCTGAGGTTACCATTCGCCTTGATGAGAAACCATGGTCCAGGGTCCCATACTCGGTCTTAGAGGCTCAAAACCTAATCTATCAGCACTTAGAGAGTGGCTCGAGGTTTAGGGCTGCCTCAGGTTAGCCTAGCTCTCAGTGGCTGATGATCCAGGCAGATGCCAGCACTCAGGTTTCCAGTGAGGACTGCAATTGTCCAGTGGACCAATGGCCATGTCCACAAATCTGTGCATGCTTTTCCTGGAGAGAATCCACATGGAGAGCACAATTGTCAGAGGGTCAGAACAAGGGTATTCAGGTGTACCTACTTATTACTTTACTTTGAGGCCTCTCAACTGCCTTGAGGGGCAGGTAGACAAGATTCTTGATGAAATCTTGGTGTCAGCTTTGCAAAAGCTATCTGTCCAGTACTTGAGTGAGCATTGCACATATTGGCTTTTGTGGTTCTTCTCTTTCTTTGCACTCATCCTCTTGGATAGTGTTTTCCCTAATAGGGAACATAATATCGATTGGGCTTGTTTCCTAAATAGCAACAGTCATGTTCTCCTCCCTAAGCCCCATTGTGATTGGACTTCAAATTACACCTTACAGCAGCTTAACAATCAGAAGGCCCTGGAAAGCAGTGTGAGGGCCATCTTACTATCTAGTTCCTGCCCCCTTACCCCACCTAACTCTCTAGCCTCTCCCCACCTTATCCCAACCACAGACTGGTCCCTGCCAGCAGCCTGAGGAGCAGGGCAGTGATGCAGTGTGCCTTGAGGAGACAGAAGCTAAAGGCTTGTGATGACACTTCACAAAGGAGGCTGCTCTTTAGGAAGAAGAGGGGTCTGACTTCTTTCTCCAGCTGGAGCTGTGGGTGGGATCCTGTGGACTGGTCTGTCTGGGAGCTCCTCCTGGGAAGGATCCTTAGGGTCTTTCTCAGCTGTACTTAAGGACAAGCAAGATGAAAGGCACAGGCAATAGACCCCTCACCCCACACAGAAGGAACAGGCTGGGCTGGGGGTGGTGCAGTGGAGAGGACAGCTCCCAGAGACTTCCAGGCTGCAGTCCCAGGTGAGCTGAGGTGCCTGGGAGTGGGGACAGGGGCAGAAAGTACAGAGGACATGCCAGAGTTTCAAGGACAGAGGGTAGTGCCAGCAGTGGGCTGGGCACGGGTGTTTGAGATGTTCTGGGACAGGGTGGCAAGCATGGTGCTGAGGAATGTTTTGGCTTTGGGTGACTTCTCTCAGCCTTGCTTTCCTTATTTAAGACCGATAGCACTTATTTGCCAAGAGTGAGACAGAATTGGGCCACTTTCATTATTTTTAGGCTTCTGGTAGATTAAAAAAGGAAAGAAAAAAAAAGAAAAAGAAAGAAATGCTGAATAGGCTTACAAACATTGTGTTACATTTCAATACTTCACATCTAACAAACTGTATTTTTAAACCTCACATCCTCAACTGGAGTTAATATAGAAACTCTAATATGGTGGCTTTCACCGATGTGACACTTGGACCAATAACCCCACTCCCACCCCAGCCTACTTGGCCCAGTGGCGATCTCTGTTCTCAGACAGTGGTGAGGATACAAGAGGCTGATATGTGTGGTGGCTTCCTTCTGGGCAAACTGGGGAGTCACAGGGTCCCTGTAGCCCCCTATTCTATCCCTGGGACTTCTGGTTGCAGAGAGTGGTCTGCCTGGAATGTTTTCCACAACCCATCCCTTTGTCTGACTTTGTCCTTCAAACCTCAACTCAATCTAAATCTCAGGATACTCCTGACTGGGCTGGATTTGGTGCCTGTCCTGTGTGTCCCTGTGTACCCAGCACTTCCCCAAGCATGTTGTTCTTGTCAGGTACCATTGAATTGACCCTGACTCATGGCAACCCCATGCACCATGGAATGAAACTCGGCCTGGTCCTGTACCATTCCCATGATCAATTGTGGATCGGACAGTGGTAGAATTCTTACCTTCTGTGCCAGAGACTCAAATTTGCCTGTGAAGGTTTGCTACGATACTGTACAGGTTTCAGTGGAGCTTCCAGACTAAGATGTACCTCAAAGAAAGGCCCAGTGATCTACCTCCCAAATCAGCTCCCTAACATAGAGCTTCAGTGTTTATTTCTTTGTCTGTTTCCTCATGGGCTGTGGGCTTCCTGAGGACAGACACTATAGGTGGACCTCTCATTTTGATGTCTTAGGTACCTGACTAATGTAGTGCCTCCATGAGATATTGTTGAATGAATGAATGGCTCATTCAACCAGTGAGGCTCTCAAGAGTCCGTCCCACTGTTTTCTCTTGGATCTTATCATTGAGCAAAAATGGTGGAGTTTGGTTGATACTTTGAAAGTAAATAGCTTTTGTTGAGAGATGAAACAATTTGCAAATTGAAAATCACAAGGTCCGGAGGATTCTGAATCAACTGATTTGAGGAACAGACAGTTCAGGGAGTTCTTATAAGAAAATACGAGGAACTTTAATACAAATTCAGTGATGGTTGACATTTAGGTTGCTAGGTGCCATTGAGTCAGTTCTGATTCATAGTGACCCTATGTACAACAGAATGAAACACTGCTCAGTTCTGTGCTATCCTCACAATCGTTGTTGCAGTCACTGTGTCAATCCATCTCATTGAGAGTTGTCTTCTTTTTCACTGATCCTGTACTTTACCAAGCATGATGTCCTTCTCCAGAGACTGACTCCTCCTTTTAACACATCCAAAGTACATGAAACGAAGTCTCACCATGCTTGCTCTAAAGGAGCATTCTGGCTGTACTTCCAAGACTGATTTGTTCATTCTTCTGGCAGTCTGTGGTATACTCAATATTCTTCACAAACACCATAATTCAAATGTATTAATTCTTCTTCAGTCTTCCTTATTCATTGTCCAGCTTTCTCACACATGTGAGGTGATTGAAAATACCATGACTCGAGTCAGGCACACCTTAGTCCTCAAAGTGATACCTTCGTTTCTTAACACTTTAAAGGGATCTTCTGCAGTAGATTCGCCCAATGTAATACATCATTTGATTTCTTGACTGCTGCTTCCATGGGCATTGATTGTGGATCCAAGTAAAATGAAATCCTTGACAACTTCAGTGTTTTCTTTGTTTGTCATGGTGTTGCTTTATTGGTCCAGTTGTGAGGATTTTTGTTTTGTGTTGAAGTATAATCAATACTGAAGGCTATAGTCTTTGATCTTCATCAGTAAGTGCTTCAAGTCCTCTTTCCTTTCAACAGGCAAGGTTGTGTCGTCTGCATATGGCAAGTTGTTAATGAAGCTTCCTCCAATGCTTACAAAATTGGGTGAGGGTACATCTGATTGGTAGGAGGTTACATATGTCTCTAAAGATTTTTTTTTAAAGTTACAAAGTAACTATTAAATTGGGTGCAGCTGGCCTTGAAACAATCACAAGACCCTCCTTATATGACTACAGGGAAGACATTCATAATCCCAAGATTTATTTTGTGTAGCAGGGTAGAATTACCCACTAAACAAGGTAAACATGGGTTTATTTGTGCTTATTTACTAATTGGTAGTGAAGCATTTCATATGTTTTCAACCACAAAAAAGATTTGGGGAAACCCATGTGAAATTGTTCACTACCGATTAGTAAGTAAGCATAAGTAAACCTGTACTTACTTTGCTTATTGGGCATGTGGGTAAGCATCTGGTCTGAGAATTGTTTTGGATCTGGTTTTCTGAGTAGGGTATATTCTTAAGCAAGCAAAACCCTAAAGCAAACAAAATCATATTCTTCTCTAAAACTGTTTACTGATTTATTCTCTCAGGATACAGTGGAGAGTTAGAGAAGTGACAGGCTGCATTCTTGATGCAGAAATTACTTTTGATTCAAAATGGAGTTTTGGCCTCAGATCATAGCATAGCCACCATCTCATGTCAGGAGCTCTAAGTTAATTTGGGGTGCTCTTACTCAATCTTAATAACTCCTGCCCCGAAAACACACTCAGGCTCACTCCCCTTATCTCCTCCTCCCTTTGCTGAGCCTAGAAAACTCCTCATTCCTTTGCTGTCCATATGGAACTTCCCATTGGTTGTTGAGGGGACACTGCGAAGGGCACTTAAGGGTGGATAGGCTGCCTCCAGGGTTTTAAGGTCTGTGAAGGGGCCCACTGGCTCTGCAGCCAGGCCCAGACCTCTGTGGGGCTCTTCAGGCTGACGAGTGAAGAGTCATGGGGAAGGGACCATCAGCATACCTGCTATTTGCTTGCCAAGGAGGGCAATCTGGGGGCCAGTGAGGAGTTGTGATGCTGGAGGAGCCCTTTGCCGGGCTGAGCTCAAACACTCATGGATCTCCCACCAGTGCTATTTGTGGATGAGGCCCTGGGCCTTGGCTCGCCCTATGCCTGGTCTGCCTGTTTCCTTTCTCTAACCTGTGAACTGCTTCTCATCCTTCAAGACCACGTCTTCTGAGAAGATCCCTACCCCAC